TAGATTTGCTAGGTGGTGGATAGTGATGAGGGTGAAGATGATGATGTAAGAGAAGCTAATGAGATTCTTATTAAGGAAAGTGCACCAATACAAGATTTTAACAATGTTCCAGAGGTAGACCCAAGAGTGCTTGATTCATGGAGAACTTGGTCTGGGAACAACAAATTTTCAGCTGAGGGTGAGTTTATAGTTGGTCAAGAGTTTGATACTCTGCACCAATTAAAAGATGCTGTCAAACTATACTCCATACGCAAAAATCAAACATTTCGAGTGAAGGAAGTGAAACCAGAAACATATGCTGTCGAGTGCATAAGAAAAGAAAAATGCAATTGTTCGTGGAGGTTGCGTGCAATCAAGTTACCAGCCCTTCCCACATTTAGAATTGTGAAGTATGAAGGACCTCATGCAAGCACATGTGTAGGGGATATTAATAAGCTTGATCATCCCCTTTTGACTTCGGATTTTGTGTGTGGTGTTATAATTGATCTCATACGAGTTGACCCCTCCTTTAAAATTTGTGCTATAGTGCAAGTTATCAAAGATCGATTTCATTATACCATGACATACAAGAGGGCTTGGTTAGCCAAGCAAAAAGCAATCACTACTATTTTTGGGGATTGGGAGAAATCATATGAAGAGTTTCCCAAATTTATGCAAGCATTAAGAGAATCAAATGAAGGTACCGTGGTTCATTGGTGTACGATACCAACATTAGACCCTTCTACACATATTTTCCAGAGAGTTTTTTGGGCTTTTAAGCCCTCTATTGATGGGTTTAAACATTGTCGGCCACTTATTACCATTGATGGCACCCATCTTTATGGAAAGTATAAGGGAACACTTCTTATTGCCATTGTTGAAGGAGAGACCGATGACGCATGGGAATGGTTTATGTTATGCATACGACAATCAGTTACCCAAAGAGAGGGTCTTTGTGTCATTTCAGATAGGCATGCCTCAATTTTGAAGACAATGACCGCGGTGGGTAGTGGATGGGAAGAGCCACATGCTCACCATAGGTTTTGTATTCGTCATTTAGCCTCAAATTTCAATACCAAATTTAAGAATGCTCACTTGAAAAACTTACTTGGCCGTGCCGCAGATGCACGTCAAAAAAATAAGTTTATTTACTATTTTAACAGTATTGGTGAATTGAACTTGGAAGCTCGTGAATGGTTGGCAGAGAAACCATTGTATAAGTGGTCAATCTATCATGATGGTGGGTTTAGATACGGTATACGAACCACAAATATGTCAGAGTGCTTCAATGGTGTGATGAAAGGAGCTCGTTTTTTACCTATCACTGCTTTAGTTAGAATGACATTCTACAGAGTGAATTCCTACTTTGTGACTCGGCGAGGTTGGGGTAAAAGAAGACTACAAGAAGGTTATGACTATAGCGAAAAGGCATTAAAAACTATTGAAAAAATCAGCAGCACATAAGGTTGATCCTTTTGATTATGAGAAGGGTTTGTTTGCTGTAGAAACTGGTTGTGGTGAACGAGCTTCTGGAAAAGGTGGACATGTGCATACTGTGAATTTATCAAAAAGAACTTGTACATGTCAAAAATTGACAATCTATAAGCTTCCATGTTCACATGTTTTAGCTGTTTGTCGGCATCGAAGCTTATCGTACGCTGACTTTGTAGACTCTTTCTTCACTACATCAGAGTATGTAGATACTTACAAGAATACTTTTATGCCTATACCTGATGTTTCTCAATGGTCTCCATATCTTGGGCCTAAAATCATTGCTCCTCCTGATCAAAAGTGTGCCCCTGGACGCACCCCTTCAAGTCGGTTTCGGAATGAGATGGATGAAAACAAACGAGGAAAAAAGCAATGCAGCATATGTCATTTTAGAGGGCATAATAAGAAAACTTGTAGATATAAGAATAGCAGTCAAACTTCAGGGTAACCTTTTATTTTATTCTGTGAAAATTTCTTTTATATGCAATTGTAGTTTGTATAACCATGTGCTCACTTGTTTGCAATTAATTTTGATGTCAGGTCTAATGGTCCACCCGGGCCCTCAAGATGACTCAGTTCTTACTCTTCAGAAGGAACATAGGAGTGAGGATGTTTGGAATGGAGTAGTAGGAGCGGATAGGGTATTGTCATGTAGGGAACATTTGTTTTCCTTGACTCGGGATTGGGTAGTAACTAATCGGATGCTACATTATGTTAAACAAGCTGGATTCTATGGAGTGCATAGATTGCGATGTTCTATAGCAATTGATCGACCACTCATAACCGCTTTGGTTGAGAGGTGGAGACAGGGGACTCATACATTTCACTTAGTTGTTGGCGAGGCAACTGTTACTCTAGGGGATGTAGCTGTATTATTAGGATTGTGTGTGCATGGTGATGCTGTCATTAGTTCCAGTTCTTTTACGTGGTCTGCTGTGGCACAAGAATTGCTAGGAGTTACGTTGGGGGTTGAAGAGAAGCCTGCACCACTAGTTGGTTCTTCACTCAGGTTGCCATGGTTGAGGAGTAAATTTTCAAACTATTCTGAGAATGCTGATGAGGTCACTGTCCAAAGGTTTGCGAGAGCATATATTCTTGCATTAATGGGATCTGTGTTGTTTGCTGATAAGAGCGGTGATACAGTACAACTTATATACTTGCCACTTTTGAGAGATTTTGAGACAGCGGGAAATTATAGTTGGGGGAGTGCAACTCTTGCCTTTTTGTATCGGCAGTTATGTCGAGCATGTAGACGTGGGACAAAGGAGATAGGAGGACCCTTGATATTACTCCAGCTATGGTCGTGGGAGCATATTCATATAGGTGTACCAGCAATAACTCGACTTCGGCAACCCATAAACCTACCAGAACAGCAAACAACGGGTCCTCAGGTATTTGGTTCTCAACATGAGCAGGGGAAAGACCCTTTAGCATGCAGGTAGTAGCTCCTCCAAATTAATCTAAACAATTATGTTCACTATATACAGTTGTGCAACATTAATTTATTATTTTAGACTTTACATTAGCTAATATCATGATTTCAGTTGGTTACATGTTTACTTTACGCGTGTGGACTCAGCTAGTGGTGGACTTTGTTATTATAGAGATGCATTGGATCGCCAGAGTATTGATCAGGTAGCATTTTTCACAAAAAACAGAACAATCATATCTTCAATTTGAGTATACTCACCTGTCAAATGCTAATAGAAACTAGTATAGTATAAACTATAAACTGAAACACTGCAACTTATGGTTATAGCATCCAATAATAGAGAGGAGGTATATACAAGACAAAAACAACACAATCATCCTTTGCTTGATGTATGGTATAAACTATAAACTGAAGCACTTAAAAGGCTAAGTGAAACACCCCAACACCAAACATTTTTCACTCGGATAGGGTATTGTCATGTAGGAATATTTTTTTAGAGTAATATTTTTATATTACATACTTCTCAATCTGATTATATATTGTAAGTATACTAATAATAACACTATGTTACTTAGTATAAATTCTTTCTGAACTTGGGCCTTGAATAGGAAGTTGCTCCTATTTTTTTGATATACTTGTCATTTATATGCGCCTCTTAACAGATGACATGGCAACCTTATACAGAGGACATTCTTTCGGTACTTCCGGATATATGTCGAAGTGATAGACATGTGTGGCAAACTTACTCACCACTAATATGCTTTGACATTGTTGAGTATCATCAACCCGATCGAGTGATGCGCCAGTTTGGATATGAGAAGCCTATACCTCTTCCGTGTTTCACGAGTGAATCACTTCACCGCATTGATCGTAGAGGGGTAAAGAACAAGAGTTATGAGAGGATACATGCTAAATACTTAGAAGAATGGAATAAACGGGAAGATAGAGTTGTAAGTGGCACTTTGCCCAGGGGTCAAACATCATCAGCATCACCACATGCCTATTTATCATGGTATCGGACTATTTCAAGGCTCATTATCACTCCGCCAAACCGAGAGCGTCCTTCAACTCAATATCAACCGGCCTCTAATGAATTTGTTCTGGTATGGTTTACACTTGTGTAGTTACTCTGTCCTGCTTTTTTTTAAAAAATTATTTGTCCTGCTTTTTTTTATAAAAAAATCACATGTCCTGCTTTTTTTTTGTGTAGTTACTCTAATGAATATGCTTTATATTGCTACTTGTTGGGAAACCTTAGCTCATACTTAGTTAGTTTGGCTATACAATTCCATCTCTAAAGTGTTTCTTTTCATACAATTCCCTCTTAGAGTCTTAGACAAAAAGTCTAGAGGAGTCATCAGATCCTCGTATCTCTTGATTAATAAATATAAACATGATCAACCGAGCAAATTATTTTTCCGAGTATGCTTGTATTACAACTTGTTGAAAAACCTTAGCTCGTAGTGGCGGATGTAGAATATTTAGTGTGGAGGGGCACTAAATAAAAAAATATAAACATGATCAACCGAGCAAATTATTTTTCCGAGTATGCTTGTATTACAACTTGTTGAAAAACCTTAGCTCGTAGTGGCAGATGTAGAATATTTAGTGTGGAGGGGCACTAAATAAAAAAAATTAAATAAAATGCTTGTATAAGGGATTGAACCTAAGACTTTTAGTCCAAACTCAATGCATTACCACTATGACAAAACTAATTTGATATTATTTATTACATAAAAATTGTATTTAACCTATAAATTTATATATTTACTTAAATAAAAAAATAAAAAATAAAAAATTTGGGGGGGCCGGTGCCACCCAGGCCCCTTCATAGATCGGCCTATGAGTCGTATTAGTCTGACTATACAATTCCATCTCTAAAAATGTATTTTTCCTTCTTTCAATCCAATTTCATACCACCTCAGACAAATAGTCTAGAAGAGTCATTGGGACCTCATATCTCTTGAATTATAATAGAAACATAATCAATAGAGCAAATTATTTATACCACCTACTCGATTTGTCAAATAGACCATAACAGTTATGTTTCCCTCAAATTTGATTCATTTGCACCAAACAAATCAACAAATCATCAAGACCATAGTTGAATTGAAAAAAATAATACTTTTAATTCTAGAAATTTATGTGAGCAAACAGTAAGCCAATCTGTATTCAAATAAGCTAAGTATAGACTATAGTCCAAGTATTCCTATGCTTACACAAATCTTAGGTGTAAACTAATGCTCATACAGTCATATCTAAAATAATGCAAACACCAGAAACTACTAGTATTAGAGTACTAGACAAAGATAATTGTCTTGATTGCCGCTAACAAATTGTTCAAGACATGAAAAGATTTAAGCTAAAAATCTCTTAAACTTGAAACTAGCTAAAAACATAACATGTTAATCTTTCTCCACTAAAAAAATTATAGCAGAAGAATGAATTAACAAAATTAAGCATGCTACTAAGTTAGTAGAGCATTCATTCTTATTCATGAACTCCAAGTTCAAGAAGAATTCTTAGAGCTTGTTTCTTCACAATCTTACCATAGACACCTCTTCCTAACTTGATTGCCCTTTCCATTTCTGCAAACCCATTACCACTTTTCTTCAGCTTCCTAACAAGCACTTTGAGTACTCTTTCATCTCCTCCAACTGCTTCAACTAAGCTGTCCACAATTGGCTCTAATGCCGGTATCTTCCTCCCCCACCTCCTTACAGTCTTCTCTGATTCATAAGCCTCAGAAAATGCCTTCCAAAACGATGCTCGAAAGTAACCCTTCTCTTTTCCTCTCATCACCCACCTCCTCATACACTCCTCTAGTCGAAAAATGGCACAACCAACATCCACTCCTCGTTCGAGTCCTTTCTCAATCTCACCAATCTCGGGTTTGGATTGCATTTCTTCCTCATATTTGCACCTCTTACACTCACATTGGAAGCCCCATGTTTTGGCCATTTCTTTCCTCTTGCTAAATGGAGAAAGAACATCATAGTAAGCAAATGTGATCTCTTCCCCTGCCTTTACTACCCTAGAAGCAAGAACAACCACATAATCACCAATGTGCAAACGCCTTGCATTAGGACTACAAGAATGGTTGATCAAACAAGGGAGCAACCATAAGCCTACACCATAATAATCACTATTCTTCCCTAGGACTTTGCTCGAAACCGCCTCTTCAACAAGCGAATTCACATCAAGTACACTCAAAATCTTGTCTACATCAAGGTCTTGAGTAGGAAAATTCACCCCTTCAGTTTCAGGCTTAAAGAGACAAATATCAGGTACTTCAAGATCATCCTCATTCTCACCAATAGACAATGTACTAATCAAATGACGGATTTTGGAACATTTCGAGGCCGATTTGTTAACCTTATCAATGAAATTCTTCCACATAACCAATTGAGCATTTTCACCCAAAACCCCATTACTACATTTTGGTAAAATACATCTTTCAGTAGCAACAGCTTTAGTAACCAAAATTAAATTTCCAACATCAATATTTTTAGTAGAAAACAAACCTCTTCCACTAATTTCAGACCTTTTAATCTCAACATTACCAACAAATTCACCAAGTTCAGGACAAACCCCAGAAAACCCACCAGAAACCCAATCAGAAACATCAAAATTACCAGTTCTTGACAAATAATCAAGCTTCTTACATTTCTCAATAAACCCATTTAACATCTCTAAATTCCCATTACACTGTTGTGATTCAAGACCCAAAACCCCTTTAAAACAATCCAAAGCCAAAGAATATCTATTAAGATTGAGCAAGATTTTACCTTTACAAACAAGGGTTTTGAAATGGGTATTGTCAATTTGAAGCGCTTCATCACAATCTTTGAGGGCTTCCTCGAAATCCCTTAATCGAAACCGGGCTTCGGCTTGATTCGAGAGGGATAAACAGAGGGATTTCTGGAGTATTGAAATGTCTGATTGTTGATTAGTGTTTGAAATTTGTTGTTGGCAAAGAGAGATGAATTTGGAGTAAACTTTGATTGATTCATTCCAATCTTCTCTGAGTAGAAGTTCAGTGGCTTTGGATCTGAGTTGCTGTAATGTTGTTTCTTCTTCCATTTCTGGTTTCTGTAATTTTGTGGGAATCTAATTCTATCTGGGTGAATTGGGTTTTTGGTGAATTTGAATTGCGGGTAAATGTAACGGTCATCTTCAGAATATTTTGGTTTCTTTTTTCTTTTTATTTATCAAAATAAATGTGAATTGCTTCGTAACGGCTAACGGCTACACTAATGAAACCTTTATAATATTATAATTGAATGTCTTTTTTTTTGTTTTTAATTATTTTGCTTTATGAAAATTACTTTCTCTGTTTCAATATACCATTGAAATTGAATAAATTGGCTGTGTTTTCCCGTCAAAAACAAAAACAAAAACAAAAAACCAAAAAAAAAAAAAAAAAAAAAAACATTGAAATTGTTGCGAATTCAGCTTTCAGTAATATGTGTTTTATTTTAGTTTTTGTTGAGTGAGCTGATAAGCATCTTGTTTTGTTTAGTTTTAATTGGGGCTTAAATGTGTGGCTTGGAGCCTTGTAGAAGTAATAAAGCTTTTAGTGAAAGGTGTAAACAACAACAAAAACACATTCAACACCGGATTAGAGAGAGAAAAGCGAATAAGGGTTTTGAGCTTTTTTATTTTCGGGTTTTCTTCGTCCAAAAAAAAAATGAAAATTTTGTTTTCAAAAATAGCTTATTTGTTCATAACCTAAATCTTCTAGAGAGAATATTATTTGTTCTCAACCTAAATCTTCAAAGAGACAATATTATTTGTTCATTGACAGATTATTTGTACTTCATTGTCAGTATTATTATTTTAAATTGGTTGTATAGGAAAGAGAGAGAAAGAGAGGTCAAATGAAACTAATAAATTGCAAAAGAAAGAGAGATTAATCAACAAGAGAGAAAGTTTTCAAAAAAAAATAAAATCAACCAGAGAGAAAAGAAGACAAACGATTCACTGACAATATTAATTGAAAACAATGCAGAAGAGAAAAAAAAATATACCGTGATTCGGAAGAGAAATGAAAAGATATTTCGTACTTAGAAGAGGAGAATAAAAGTTAAATTAAATTAAATTAGTAGCAAACTAGCATAATGCCCGTGCATTGCATGGTTTATAAGTCAAATCATTATTTTTTTGACAAAAGCATGATTGATCCTGTAGGAAAAAAAAAATCCTAAGATAATTCAATTAGTAATAAAGGGCTTATTTTCTCTAACAATTAATTAATTATTAAATTTTTGTCTAGTTGCAATAATGGTTAATACGTAAATAAATTAAAGAAATATGTGATTTGAATAGTATTTTATGTCATTTGCAATTCTTTTCTTTTATTCCCTATTTTTTTTTTATAATGTTATTTATTATAATTGAAAAATAAATTAATCATTTTGCCCCACATAACTACGTAAGAGAAGTAGAGGAAAAACTAAATTTACTTGTCATACATTCCGCATATTACTATAGAAGAATAATGGAAGAAAAACTAAAATTTACTTGTCATACTATCTGTTCGGTATCTATACAATCTAAACCTGTTTTACCCGTCGCATTCACTATCTACAAACACGATAATAACCTTATATCTTATTCACCGCCATATTTTACAGTTATCTAAGCTAAGCATTGTGTCAAAAAATTTTACATAATATCCATATAACTAATCAACAACTGATGATTGAATATACAACACAATATATATAGAAATGGTTATTGATAAATTTTATATGATTAAAAAAATATTTATTAAAATAATAAGAATTAAAGACATATTTTATCAACTAACCAATCATGTATGTAATGCATTTTTTTACGGACATGTATTTTTATACAGTAACTATGAATGTTATAAAACTCATAAAATTACATATTAAATTATTTAAATTTTGAATATGAGCATTACAAGAGTAAGAAAATATGAAAAGTTAATTGTTATAGAATGACTGAATGAGAATATTTTCTCATACAAATTTCATTAGATATTATTTATGTTAAAACCAGAAACTATTTTATGTATGCATCATTTTTTGGCATAGGCCTTGTTTGGCTAGTGGCTGTTGGCTGATTCACTTGGCTTGTTTGACCAGTTGGTATGTTTGACTGTTTATAATGGCTTTTGAAATTGGTTGTTTATAATGGCTTTTGAAATTGGCTGTTTATAATGGCTTTTGAAATTGGTTGTTAAAGCTGGCTGTTTATAAAAGTGTTTGGTAAATTAATTGTTGGTAGTTGGCTGTTTATTAGATAATTTATGGGCCAACAAGCCAAAAGCCAACAACTCAAAGCAGCTTTTTCATTTTGGCTTAAAAGCCAGCTTTTTCACTGGCTAAAAAGCCAATTACCAAACACATTTTTTGGCTGTTTTACCTCATAAAAAAGCCAAAAGCCAAAAGCTAACAAAAAAGCCACCAAAAAGCCATTTACCAAACATGGCCATAGTTTTGCTTATTGTATACTTGTCTTCCCTTAATTGTAGAAAATTAGGCCTACTTTATAGCTTACCATATGCAGCTTACAGTGTATATAATGCCTTTGATAGGCTTGTTAATATTTACCGAATTATCTTCTTTCATTATAAACATAATATTTTAGAGAGTATGAATTACCATACATACATATGTTATTTTGATATTTTTTATACTAAGATTTTTTATTCTTATGTAACTATTATTATTTACATATACTAACATATTTATGATACTTTTCTTAATATACCGTGCATGTGTATATGTCTACTACTTTACTATAATAGACTTTACTATAATAGTTTATGTATTTATTTAGAATAAAATGTATAGATTTTTTTATACATATGGAAACATAAATGTATAATAATAAATAAAATAAAAAATTAATAAAAGACAACGAATCATAATTAGACATTTGTCAGTCTCACATTGAGGCGTTTGTCTTTTAGTATAGTATATAGATAGATAGACACCATTAATTATTATGTAATCAGCATATTTTAATGCAAACATTTTAAAATTATACAAGTACCTTTTATTCACAATCAATGCCTAATTTTTTATTTACTTGTAACAACTACTATGGTACATACTTTTGAGATATTAGATTAAGTAAATGGACAAATTAATCATAAAATTTTACTTTCGATAAGAAGAAAGTGATATGTTGCTACTTGCTACAATTAAATTTTATAGTTTAATTCGTCTGTTTACTTATAGCCTAATCACTTTATCAAATGACGTGCCAAAATGGAGGTATCGGGGCATCATTTCCCATTCTTATATACTCATTGCAACTAGCAAGCTAGGAGGTATGAATGTGTTCATTTAGCACTTCAAAAACAGCAACAAGTCCCTCGTCAAATAGGAAAAAAAAAAAATGCAGCAACAATCACGCATTTATAAAGCACATAAAGTTGATTTTCAAAGACTTCGAACATTACAACTTTTGAAGATTTACAATGAACCTTACATAGAGTACAGAATCACAGGTACAGAAATATTTGCCACTGAATGTACAAGAAAGGTGCATATATGCAAGTTTGGCCTTTTCTTCTCGCCTTAATATTGATAATTTACAGTCCTTCAAAAGCGGCCGCAGAATGTACTCCTAAGTCCTAACCAATGAAGTAAAATTGTATCCATGATCACATTGCAACTTCCAACATTTGCATAATCATGTCTCTCCTTCAGAAAGGTATGCTCATTCAGTCAGACCAAATTTTTAAATGATCAGCATTCCACGGCCAAATTGTCTAGTATTACTCAAAACAAAGATAATAAAGTTATTTGGGCTATTCCAAAATCTCTTCATACTTCCATTTAGAATTAAGGACTACAAATTAAAGAATATTATTTCTTACTACCACATTTACCGCTTTTCACCCTTTATCCTAACGCGGTCTTACTTTATACACATCTAAAGCATATGCATAACCATATACAACTAATACAAGTGATGAGATCAAAGGCAGCAAATGAGAAAAATTAGACATATTTTCTCCTGAGCCACACCTATAATGCTAACAATAATCAAGATACTTACCTTTTTTACTCAATCCTACTTGTATAACAGAAGGAATAATACTGTTGCCCATGACGTTGATCATTTCTTCAAGACATACATTCCATCCCTTAGTTCCAACTTCTCTTCTGAAACGAGACCGGCTAAGAAGCTCTGGAGTTGTTGGAGTGATTTATCATACGAAGGATCAGCAACACAAAACATCTGCAGCAATATTCTCCCTTGATTTTCTTGGCACAAAATGGCACAAATGTACAAAATAATGAAGATTCAATGACCATAAATTTCACCTTTAAAGTGTTGTGAATCCGATCCAATGCCATACTGCCAAAGTTAGTCAGCATCCCCAAGATAAATTTCTGCAACAATTTGGAGAAGGAATCAGGTATCAAAGCCAAAGCAAATCCATGTCAATAGGGAAACAAATAGTTTGTATAATACAAGAATTCAAGCATATACAAAGCATTTTTCTCTACCAACCTATGGAGACACCATGTAGACCGTGAAAATAATAGTTGTGTTGTATACAACGGGCATGTATAATAAGAAGCAACATCAACAGCTGGAATGAGTATTAATGGACTAGCTATTGCAATGCTTTTATTAAAGACCAGATTAAACTCTTATCATGTATGATGTTTCGAATGATAGCTTGCATTGAAAAAAGATGCAGGCAATTAGAAATTGGAATTCAGAGCCCATAGCATTTTGTATGTGACGTATCTGATACATTGCTCATACTGTGAGGTTCTAATAGAAATGACAAACGTGTCCTATCGGGTTTTTTTTTTATTGTGTCAAAGATAAACAAACATCTATGCACCAAGGAAGCATTTAACAATTAGTTCAGGATATTGAATGATATTCCCTGTCTTACTCGTTGACCTCAGAAATTACTCAGCCCATTTCAAAAGTTGCCATATTTCAAAGTTGTTTAACAACAAATTTAACCCATGCAATAAGATAGACACGTATATTTGAAGACAAAAACAGGGATCATATTACAAATAATTTTCAACAGGTTACATAACTAGATCTTAAGTCATCATGAAAAGTAGTTCTAGTTGCTAGCAACAAGCACACACCAATCTCAAACAACTAACATAAGATGCAGCTTTTCTTAAGATCCTTCAAGGATTTTGAAACAGAAAATTAGCAAGCTAGTGATAAATCTGATTCTGCAATTCAGGTAAAAGATGATATAAAGTGTATTCACCAAGTACTAGATGATACCAAACTATAAAGTTTGAACAGCTCCCAAGAGCAATATATTGAAGACAGCGAACCAGAACTTCATGCAATCAACAATGCAAGTAGTTTACCAGATCAAATAAAACTATTAGTCTGCCAAAAATACTCTTACTAGTGCTAGTCTGCTACATATA